TCCTGGGTAACGGTCGGAAACGCAGGTATAGTATTATTTTAATAACATAGTTGTAATTTTCACAAGCTAAAGCTATTTTATTGAAAAGTATATAATTATAAATAGGTAGAAAAATATTATAAAATGATACCTAGGTACAATTCTGGAGATAGGATAAATCTAGCAGTGAATGTTGAAAAGCTCATTGAATGTACTGCTATTCCAGCAACAAGGTTCAATGTTGGTGTACGACCTCATCTGGCAATTTTAAGTGAAGTATTTAAAGCTGGAGGTATAGAAATTAATGATATACCGCTTTCACGAAGCACACTTCATAGAAAAAAGTTCAAATATGTAGAACTTGAAAGAGACTCGAAGTGGATTTCAGGCGGAGTAAATGGAGCAGTCCAAATTCTTACAGATATTTTGAAATTACCAATTTTGTGGATAATGTGTAGGAGACACATATATGAAGTACATGTATCTCACTATATGGCTGCCCTTACTGGTGAGAAAACTAAAGGTCCAAGAAGAGCTTTTTATGTCAAGCTAAAGAACAAGTGGCCTGAAATCTGTGAGAAAGTGAATGAAGTGAAAAATTTATGTAAATTGGACTGGCAAAGAGATGATCTGAAGATTAGCTCTGTTCTTTGCACTGTTGCAGATGAAGTAAGACATTTTTGACTAATGCAACTACTGATGTAGTGTTTTCAAGGAATGATTATGGTATAGTTTGTAAGCTTGCCTCCTTCTTCCTTGGAGTGGAAGTACAAGATTTTAAGTTCCATCAACCTGGCGCCTGCTATGAGGCAAGGTTTTTAGCAGGTGCGATCTACATCCTGACTCTTTATATGACTAAAGATATCAGTAATATCTTGACAAAAAAAGAAATGCTGCAGTTGAAGGATGCAAGTTTGTTCATTGCAATTTGCTATGTTCCATGGTTTTTAAAAAGCTTTTTAGGATTTCTGGCTCCCTACAATGATTTGAAAGCTATCCAGACAGCCTATGCATTGAGAAAAGTTAGTAAGAATATTGGAAATGCTTTGCTTCTCAGCATGGGACGCCATACGTGGTACTTAACTCCGCAACTCTGTGTTTTTTCCTTTGGGGATAAAGAAGTTCCTTCTGAAACAAAGCTAAGAATGCTGTTAGCTCTGATTGAGTTTGAAGAGCCAAATGAATTTCAGCGTTGTAAACCATCAAATGTACCAATTGGAGAGACCACAGAGCTACCTGAGTTGATTTCCAAGCAAAGCTACCTTCTCTTCAAACATTTTAAAATATCAAGAGCAAGTATAAAAGAATGGCTTAATAATAGTCTTAATACTATAGATGTTTTTAACCATTTTTTTTTTTTGGGACACCCTAATAAATATATCCTTTAAATTTTCATGAGTGTAATTCTTTTGCTGCCAAAAGTATAGTAATTCTATGTGTTTTATCCTTAAAACGTACTAAAATCGGAGCAAGTTTTTTGACTAACTTTTTATTTTTTAAATCTTCTCACAAAAACAGGTGAACATAGTTTTCCGTGTTAAATATCTCTTCCAAAACAATAAAATCATTAGATTGTTTTTCCAAATCGGTTGTTGCATCAGATTCTGTTACACCAAATATTATTATATTAGCTTCCTTACTTTTTTGTTCATTTTGTTCTATAATTGACGCATTTAGGTTGATTAGTTGTGTTTCACTTTTTATACCGTGAACAACAACGTCTACCCATGAGGAGGCAGATGTTGTTTTTGCTACCAATGTCTCAACTCTTTTTAATAACTTTTCTATTATTTCTTGTTGTGCAAACACTATTACGGTTAGATCAATAGTTTTTAAAGTTTAATTTCCTTTTAATTTATCCATTGTTGTTAAAATTGTTAAAATATTAACGATGCAAATGGTTTTAACGACGCACTCTAATGTAAACAACAAGTTTTGATTTCAATACTGTAAATGTTTTTAACTTAATTTTTAAGTTTCCCACTTAAAAAAATTGTATTTTGTTATTTTTTCCACCACCAAAAATAATTTAAAAAAATATATATATGTATATTAAGCAGACCTTCGCATGAAGCGGAAGCGATCGCTCCCGTCAAGTGAAACACGCTCATCAATGGAATATTTACAAACTGCGGGCGCGATAAAAAATACTTGCTAATTTAGTAATAAGAGCAAAAAATCGCGCTTGTCCTAAAAATTTGGGAAGGAGAAAACTAATAATGGTTTACTTGTTTTTATATTAAATCTTTTTTATAAAAAGTTTTAAAGATTCTTGTTAAATTTAACAAAAAAGTTTGCTTATTGTTAAAAACAAAATAATCTCTATTCACATATCTTTAATTGCATTTTTTCAACTGAGGTAAAATGTTAAAGCTATACTTCAGTTAAAATACTGATTTTTTCATGTTAACTTACATCATTCTGTTAAAATTAGAGCGCAAATTTCTACGAACAATGAATGGTCATTTGTGAATGAGACTTTTAGAGCAAACATTTAAAGAAGTTAAATAAAATTTTATATATTTATATGTTTATTAATAGTATTAAATTTTGTAAATAAAAAATAATTATGAGAAACGTTGTTAATTTAATTTTGTAAAAGCATTTGCTAAAAACCATATGTATAATAATAAAATTTTTTTATTTAATTTTGAAAAAAATATTTCTACAAATGTTGTGTTTTGAACAGAATAGTTTGCTTATCGTTAAAAACAAAATAATCACTATTCACATATTTTTAATAGAAATGAATTTTAAATCTATAGAATTTTATAAGTTTAAATAAAATGTTTTCGACCAAAATTTAACTAAATTTAAAAAGTTTTTGTTGTTAAAATTATAACTTATATTATTTATAAATTTATAAATTTGTCAAAAACATTTGTTTAAAAAGTTATAAAAGTTCTATTATCGTTAGCAATGAAAAAATATTAAATATGTTTTAACAAAAAGAAACCGTTATTTCATTGTTTTAATGTTTTAATGATGCAAAAACATTATGAATTTATATTTTAATTAAACAAATGAAATAATAAAAAAAATTAAAGCTTATGAACTTCTTTCAAATAAATTCGATCGCATCTATTTCAAATAGATGCGATCAAATAATAAACAAGTATTCAGGAAGGCAAAAGAATTTTAAACATTTTGTCAGGCAGTGCGCTGCTAAATAATAATTTTAAAATATTTATCGTCTAAAGAATGTTGTATAACAAATTAAAACTTAATAAAATTGTTTTGAACACCCATATCCAAAAATAAAAGATCGCTCCTGATAACTTAATGACAAGCGCTCATAATTGTGCTCGCTAAAAAAATAATTGAGTTTTCCAGGTGCGAAACATCGCACTAGATCATTTTCTTTATGCCAAAGCCTGATTAAGTTAAATTTATAATGTAATCAAAGAAACTTCAAACAAAAGCGATAAAACCAATTATACACGACTTCTAAAATTTCTTGTATATATTGAGTATCCAAATCAAAAACACATCTAATCACTTCAATAGCGGAAGTTGATAATGATTGTTTATATTATGTATAGTAATTGTTTACATTTATGTTCATTATATCTATATTAAATATATATATATATATATATATATATATATATATATATATATATATATATATATATATATATATATATATATATATTATAAATAAATAAACATTGCAATGACTTATATAATGTAAGCAATGATAAAAATTACAACAATGCACTTCTGATGAGTGATCTTTTATATCAGGAACTCTGAAACATTCTAAGTGAACCTTTTGTAGCCCTGAAGATAGAGTTTCACCTATATTAGTCGAATATTTAAATCTAATTAGATTTAAATCTAATTATCTTTCTCCCCATTACCCTTTATGTAAATACATGTGTGTGTGTTTGAAAACAAATATACTTAGTAGATTTTTTATTATGTTTGTAATACATGTTTTTCCCTCTATTAACTTCATAACTATAAAAAACTCCATAATAACAATAATAATATTGTAATATTATGTAATTTATACATGTTTTTCTCTTCCTAAATTCCATAATATAAAAAACTGCATAATAATAATATTGTAATACCGTGTAATAAATTTTTTGCCCTTTCTCAACTCTATAACTATAAAAAACTCTATTATAATAATACTGTAATATTATGTAACACATGTTTTGCCCTCTCTCAACTCCATAACTATAAAAAAATCTATAATAATAATATTGTAAAATTATATAACTATATACATTTTTTGCCCTCTCTCAACTCAATTACTATAAAACTCCATAATCTACAAAGTTAAATCTATAAAACCAAATCTAAAAAAATGTTATAAATTTATGTTATAAATAATAACAAAAATGTATATTATACATTTTTGTTATTATAATGATTTTATTACAATAATAGCTCTATTTTTTTTTTGAAAATAGCTTTTGCTATTTGTCATACCTTATTGTTATACAATAAAGGTACTTACAAAAAAAAACATTCACATGCATGTGGTATTTAATGACTTACTGGCAAATTATAGTCAAAAAACCCGCCTTAAACTTTGAAGCTATTCTTAAAATGTCTATTCCGTAAATAACCTCATAAATTATATCTTGTACATGTATTTCATAAACCTTAATAGACTATAAGCAATCAACCAATCAACTGCAACTTAAAAATCCTATTAAAAATTGTTTTATTTGCTTATTTTAAAATAATTTTTACTCATTAACAAAATAGTGTTTATTAACAACAAAAAAATTTAAAAAATAAATTTATGTGAATAATCTAAAAATTAATAAATGAAAATATTAAAAGAATTATATTAAATTTCATATTTATTTTTATATTTACGATGACTTAAATACTGATATAAGACTCGACTAAAGATTTTTATAAAGATAAAAATGAATTCTATTTTTCAAAAATATTTTTTTAAATGTTTATAAATCTTTATTTTACTTGTAAAGAAGATTTATACACAGCATATAACTTATATAACACAGCATATATATTATAAACTTAAAAATACTTACCAACATTGAAGATGAAAAGAAGCAGAACAATGGTCACAACATAATAAATCTCCATCTTCACAACAAGCATCGCACCGATCATGATTAATAGCTTTTGCTGGACGCTTTATAGCTTCATGTAAAATTGGACGTTTGGAGTCATCAGATTGAGGAGGAGCAACAAGTTTTTGAATCTCCTAAATATAAAGATATATATAAATCTCTTATATGAAGATTTACATAAATCTCCCATAAGAAGATTTATATGAATCTCCTGCATGAAGATTTATATGAATCTCTTACATGGAGATTTATATAAATCTTCTATATGAAGATTTATATGAATCTCCTATATGAAGATTTTTACAGTCAACGCTTACCACATTTGTAAACAAATAATTTACAAACTCTGTGTGATAAGTTGTTGAACAATCTTTAATTGAATTTTTCTAACTAACAACCATGATTACATGATTGTTAGTGAGAATAATATTACTATTCTAAATATTTCATAAATATTGTTATGCATTAGCATAAAAATATTTATGAAATGTTTAAACTAATTTATTATATTATAAATATTTATAGTATATTTATTTAAATTATTATTCACATTATTACTTAAAATAAGCTTAAAATGCAGCAAAACAAGTTTTAACAATATAAAATTTTATAAATTTTTCAATATCATATACTAAATATACTATTATATACTAAATTATGCCAAAAATTATTAATAAAATGTTATCATCATAAAAAACAATAAACATATATTATTAATAAAATGTTATCATCATAAAAAACAATAAACATATATTAATAATAAAATGTTATCATCATAAAAAACAATAAACATATATTAATAATAAAATGTTATCATCATAAAAAACAATAAACATATATTAATAATAAAATACTTTCTTAGATTTAATATATTGTTAAACCAATGAAAATCTTACAAAATATCAAGTATAAATAATAGATCTTAACAATCTTTTAAATAATATTATAAATAATATTATAAATTTATTATAAATAATATAGACTTTTAACTTTATAACAAATAAAGCTAACCTCCATAATACCTCCTGATGTATCTAAATCATACTCAACTTTCTCCATTGTTAGATTTTCTTCTGATTGTTAGAGAACCATAAATATATACTATAAATTTCAAGTTAATTTTTATTATTCAAATTTGTTTATAAAAATTTGCAATAAAAAAATATGCATTTACAAAAAATATATATCTAAATACTCACTTTAATTAAGACAATTTTAAAATTTTACAGTGTCTGTATGATATATTGCTGACCATGACATATTGCGGTATTTAATTTTACAGTGTCTGTATGATATATTGCTGACCATGACATAATGCGGTAGTGGTGTAGTGGTAGAGCGCTCGCTTCATAAACGAGTGGTTCCGAGTTCGATCCCCACCACGTCCCTGGTAGTACCGCGCTCAACTCATTTCTCCGCGCAGCGGCCTCGTTCGTCAAGGTTCGTGTTTCGGAGTTATAGAGTTGAGAGAGGGTTATAGCCACAAATAAGTAGCCTCCTCGTCTGTAGTGGCCTTCTCGGCCTTGAGGAGGTGAATTAAAATAAAAAAAAAAAAAAAAAATTCTGTTAAGTGATCAGGTCAGTGAAATATGAATAAAGAAAAAAAACTTAAAGTAAAAACGTTTGAAACGAAAAAAATTGTCTAAATTTGATTAAGATTAAAAACAAATACGCTGTTTAGGTGAAATGAACATCATAGTTTAATATTATGTTATTTAGTTTATTCTTTATTTTAAGCTATTTCTTGGTCGGGATTTTTAAAATTCTTGCAAAAATTGATATTTTGACAACTGTATTTAATCAATATGTATCAGAACAGAATTCTTAAAACTTTTATAGATTTGATCAGATCAGAACAGATTAGAACTTAATGCACTTTTTTAAAAGATTTTAACTAAAATTGAGTTAATGCTGTTAAGCAGAATTGATCTAAAGACTCAAAAATGGCGTTCTTTAGGTTCATTATTAGGGGTAGTAAATAAGTATAAAAGGTAGTAAAAAAAGAGAAAAGTTTCTTTAAACATAAAAACCTAAAGCAAAAAAATTATAACATCTAAAGCTCTTGTTTAGATAATATATTGACAAAATCATGCTAATTTCAAATGAAAGAATTCGAGTAATGCCTTAACTACACCAAGTAGAAAGATGTTTCAAAACTATTAAATACTCATTATTTTTATTCTTGTAAAAATTGTTTAGGGAAAGTCTGAATTCTTTATAAAAAAAGTAAAGGACTTGAAAAGACCTAAAACTTGTTATTTGATGAAATCCGAGTCCTTATGTATTATATTATTTTTCCAGGAACTTAAGATTAAAATTTACAGAATTTCTAACGCCTTGTTTTAAGTAGTATCTAGAAAAATTACCCAAACAATTTTTGTAGACCAAACTTTGTTTTTATTTAAACCCTGTAGACCACTAGGGCTACAGGGTTAGATAAAAACAAAGGCCCCAGGAGTACTTTTTAATACTTCACATTCATACTTTTTTTTTTTTTTCTTAGGTACCTTAGGAAGCTCTGATAAAGGCACCTTAGAAAGCTCTGACAAAGAAGACTTTTCGTTAGAATAAATTAAATTTTACAGTCTTGTAATAGAAAATGACAAACAAACAAAAAAAAAAAAATGGACATAAATATTCAATTATACAAAAAAAAAAAAAAAAAAAAAAAAGTTATACAAATTCAGAATTTTAAGTTCAATAGTAAAAACCTTTACATTATATAAAATTTGAACTTATAACTATATATTTTACAAATAAATAAAAAGTTTGATTTATTAAATAATTTGTCATTATACACATTTAATTTGCATTAAAAAAATTTATAAAATTTGTATAAGATTAAAAAGCACATAA